AGAATTATTATGTTTAACAAAGATTCTACTGCTGATTTTCAGAGATTCTTATTCTGAATAAGAAATTCAGTACTGAATTCAGACATTGTAATCAGAATAATGAAGTTTTTAAAGAAGAATGACTTAATTGAAGCTATAACTGGTTTTTGAACTTTAATATTAGTTATTAACTGAGAAAAGAACTGTTGATTGATTTCATTTCTAATTCTGAAAATGAGGTTTGAGTTTAGCTTATTTCTCTGTAATATATCCTGATTTGAGACTTTGAGAATAAGTCTTCTATTTCTGAAGATTTGAAGATTTTTCTCTTTTTACATTTTTTTCTTCACTCTTCTATCACTAGAAGTATGAGCAGTATTCTTCTCAGTTTTCTCAGAATTTTAAGCAGATTTTAAGATAGCAGATTTAGAGATAGCAGATTTAGAGATAGCAGATTCAGCTGCTTAAGCATATGTTTTTCTTCTGATTTAAAAAGATAAGAAGAAGAAGTAGAAAAGAAAGAAGAGTAAACTGAAGAGTCAGTGATTATATTAGGAATTTTCAAAGTTTTTTGAACTGCGTTTGAAATTTCAAGTTTAAACTTGATCACTTTCTGTAGTTGTCTAGTCTGAGTATGAAGAATTAACAGAACTTCTTTATTTATCTCACTCAGACACTGCTTTCTAAGAATTTTACTTACTTTTTCAAGTTTCCGTATTTCAAGAACTCGCTATTTCTCTATTTCTTCTTTCTTTCTTCTCTTCAGAATTTCAATCTCAGAAATAATATTTGAGAAAGCATCTTTTTTCACATCAACTGAGTGTACTTTTGAACTCATTGTTCTTACTCAATGAAAAGTTGATCAGACTAATCAATAGAGATATTTCCTAAACTCTTTGAATGAAAAGTTGATCAGACTGTTTCAATTAAGAAGTTCTAAGCCTGTTTTCAATTGAAAAGTTGATCAGACTATTTCAAAGAAGACTAGCAGACTTTTGTGTATAAACACCTGATTTTTTTCACACTAGTTCAGTAACTAGGTTAGATTTTTGAAGAGAATTTAATAAACTAAAATTGATTTTTAAAATAAATCAATAAAATCTTTACAATCTCTTTCTTAAGATATAGTGAGAAAAAGTATGATATCAATTGATAATAAATCAGATAATATGACAGTTTTTGAGAGAAAAACTAACAAAAAATAAATCAATTTTTTGCAGAGAAATTGATTAAAACTATTCAATTTTATTCTAAATTATTCAATCCTTCTCACACAATAAGTGTGTAACTCAAATCAGTTAATAAAGAGTGTAAAAAAGAATTAAATATTAATAAAAGCTCTTCAGTCACTGAAAAAGTAATTCTTACTTAAAAGAATATGAAATTATGACAGAAAATAACTCTGTTTTTAATTCTTTATAAGAATATTGTATAAAACTCAGAGAAAAATATCTTACTTTTTCAAGAGAAGTAAAAAACTATTTCTAACATCTTTTTTTTTTTTTTTTGCATTAACTGCTGCAGAAGAATGAGATAGAAACTGCTAAGATATACACTACTATATACTCTCTATCAAGACTTTCTCTCTTCAGAGTCTTGATATTATAGAGAATATAAGTCTGTTTCTATATAATAATGTAAATATTGTCAGTGAGATGTAGAGAAACTGATTATTTATATCTCAAAATAGAAGACTTTATCAATGATTATATCAATATAAAGTTAATTCTTAAATTCAATAGAAATCTAGTGTTGCTGTTCTCAATCTCTTACAGAATCTATTGAATATTAAGATATTAAAACTAGATTTAATATATTTCACTGTGCAGAGATCAAAGACTCAGTCAGATCTTGAGATATACTGATTTTATAGTTGTTGATATGCTGTTGACTTGTTATCTGTTGATTATATGCTTGATATTATCACTGAGATATCTTTTTATATTTTTCTGCTGAGAATGGGCCAGATTGAGAAGAGCAGTATGAGGGTGAGACTTGATGTTAGTGTTTTGAAACATCAAAGATGAACAGGGTTTTCATGGAAATCACTTCTCAGATATCTCCACAACTACAGATTGAGAATCTTCCAAAATCAAGAAGATTGGTGCATATGACTAGGTCTCTTCACCTTACAATTTGTATGGCAATTTGGCCCGGGATTGTGGTGTGATAGGGGAGAATGAGGGATAATCCCACGCAGGAGTTCTGAACGACATCTGGTTCACATTTGGCTGAATAACTCCACCACCACACGGGGTATGCAGTCAGTGATGGGGTCAAAATGCTCGTATGATCGAGGGCTTTTCGATGGATCTATCGGCGGGTTCTTATTCGAAAAATCGAGCGAGTTCGTGGTGGAGCGGTTGAATGCTGTCTGTATTGAGCTTGATAGTACATAGAGTATGTACAGAATAATGCATTAAATTGAGACTATTCAAATACACTGAGAGAATGAGAATTCTCACACACTGAGCAGCAGTGTATGAAATAAGTATATTAATAAACATATCAGTTAATGTATATACAGTAGAGAACATCTGTAAAGAAAAGAATGAAGATTAATATCAGAGCTGTACAGACTGCAGAGCTGGCTGTTCAGATGAATTCATTTTGATGAGATGCATATGATATCATGTGAGGCCATGTTACAGGGCATTTTACTCGGAAAAGTTGGTTTTTCTATAATATATAGAGAGATAGTCTCACCTTAGATTAACAGAGGACCCTGGCGCTGATGACTAATCAACTTCGCCCAACCCGGCAATTCTCATCATCACAACCTTGAACCTCATTGCGGGCGACAGTTGGTTGACCTTGAACCACCTAGATACACCGCCGTAACAGCAACATCCTCCTCCGCGCAAGGCCCGCAACCATGGCTGGTCCCAATCCAAGTCTGCTTCCCTTTCTCATACCTCTCCTATCCTCTTCGGCCAATTGCTGACACACTTCCTCTCGCAGATTTGACTCTTGATCCGGCCCTCCAGAAATATTATGGTATGGATTTCCAAGTTCTTTAGCCTTTGACACTTATTCCCCGCTGGGTGGTCATCTCCCTCCACCTGATAAAACAATAAATCTCTTGCTCATCGACTTCTGTTTTTGTGCAGAGCTGAATGTCAACCGATACAAATACTTCCGCTGGACCCCGCGCACAGTATGGATCTCGTTCTGCTACATGGCTCTCGTGCCCGGAGTTTTGGCTTACGTCGGCTACAAAACTGATGTAAGTGTGCAATATTCTTCTTCAATTGGAAATTGAAATTGCGTGGTCGCTGTCGGCGGTTATCGTGGATCTTTTTGTAACGAGTTGGGTTGAACCAAAGGCTGATCCGGATGAATGATTTTTACGGACATATAGGGGAAGTTCGACTTCAGAGGGAAGAGAAGGGGAGATACAATAGTGGAGTGGTAGAGTTGTTTTCTGTACATACATAGATAGGGGGGGTCGCAAAATAAATAAACCACGGGAAGGCCCCATCATCCGACAGTCACAATGGAGTACTGGCATACTTCCCTCTGCATTCTCTTATCGCGAGTTGCAGCTCTCCGTATGTTTGAGACGGACATGGTTTGATGCTGTATTTTAGTCTACGAAATTCAAGTATTCTCCAAACAAAGTTTGGACAGTTGATTTCATTAGAATATCGGTATTCGTCAAACATTATCCAGCAACGGAAAGAAAAGAGGTCTGAACAATAGAAGAAAGAGAAAAAGAGATAAAAGAGAGAAAAAAAAAAAGAGAATTATGAGAAAGAAAAACCAGAGATACCCCGGAGTAGATGAATCATACAGAGGAACCGCCCGGCAAAACAACAAGAGAAAAGCACAAGGAAAGTCGCTGAAATTTAAAACCACATTTACTGTCCGTTCCCGTAAGCATATGGAATGAAAATTGAATAGGAGAAGATCTAGGCTCTCAACCAAATTCAATAGGGTCTCCCACGACTCCTTGGATGGCCCCGACCGAAGCCACGCCCTCCTGCTTCAGGGACCCTTTCTCCTCTCCTCCATTCCCCTGATGGGACTCCAGATGGGCCAGTCGGAGGGAAACCCCCTCCCCTACTCAGCGTTCCAGCCCCCCTTGGTCTGCCAAAACCATTTTCCCTTGATGAAGATGGTCCATTGCCAAAGGCCCTCATCCCCCCACCAATGGTTGAACTGCCAGCCACTCCCCTGTTTATGACGGCGGGCGCAATAGAGCCATCGGACAAAGGCGGGAGGACAGCACAATCGACGTAGTCACCAATCACAAAGCGGAAATCCTGTAAGCATTTATCCGCTTCATCGCCTTGAAGCTTAAATGCTCCGTTTGCTGGATGATCCTTTTCACGTCTTCCTGTGTTCTTGTTTTCACTTGGTCCGACAATTACGCTACCCATATCTCGACTCAAGTACCTTCCCCGCCCTTCGCCCGCATTTCCTTGATTTCTTGAATCAGGGTATATGAGCCGAAAGCTCAGGCGCGTTCCGATAGCAGGGTTGGGGAGAATAGAAGGTAGGCATGACGTTAGGAGCTGGGCAAGTTCGCGTAGAGAACAAGACGGCCAGGTGTAAATCTGAAGGTGTGGGGGAAGCGGAGGAGGGGGGTTGGACGCGTTTGCGGTTCTGGCAGATGGAGGTGGGGGAATCGGGAAATCTGAGAGATGATGGAAGCCGTGCTGGCGGTAGAACAGCTTCAGATGAAATGGAGTTGTTGTCTGGCGGTCAATCTTGGGAGGCGCATCAGACTTGTCTTCCGCCATAGTTGCGGCGGAGAGCGCGCATGCGTTGCTAGGACCGCAGCGGCTGCGACAAGCGGAACGAGGCTGGGCGGGAGGAGCGAGCGGTGGCCAATGTAGCTATGAGAAGCACAATAGGAATTTCGTCAACTCGATATAGCGGGCTACAAATTCACCATCTATTACGCGCGATAGGGTGCTACGTAGACGACGTAGTGATGGTTGGAGTGGTGAGTGGAGGAGTTGAAAGCTGGAAGTAGTATGGAGCGGCATCGCCTATTTCGGCCAGCAGTTGTCAAGCAACAACGCAACGCCAAGCCACGGAATTTGGGCTGAAGCTTGAGCCTCCACCAACAAGAGAACAACACTCGTTCAGGGAGAGAACATTCCGCTTACTTCTTTGAAGCTACAATAATTCTATCTGATACAGCTGTTTTATCTCATCTCTTCGTTACCCAACCTTTGCCTGCACTCCCACACACCCGCACGCCCACCATGGATTTCGCGTCGCTAATGGCTAAGGAAATTTCCAAGGCTAAGTCACCGGAATCGTCCTCAACCACCTCCGGCTCCAGTAAGCAATACGTGAAACGAGCCGACGCCGAAGCGGCTAGGCTAGCAGCATACAACGCGGAACAAGAAAAACTGCAGAAGGAACGCGAGCAACGGGCTGAGCGGAAACGTAAGTTGGAGGAGGAAGAGGCGGAAAGGAATCGGGAGAGGGAGGAGAAGAGAAGACGGTTGGCAGAGGAATCTAGGCGGAAAAGAGAAGCTGAGGCAGCGGCTAAAGAGCGAGAGCGGCGGAGGAGACTCGGCCTTCCAGAGATTCCTGAGGGTAGTCCAGGTGATTCGAAGGAAGGCACTCCGCTGGGCGACGATGAAGCAGACCTTGGTGAGGATGAGGTGATTGACAAGCTGAGGGCTGCCGGCGAACCAGCAAAGCTCTTTGGAGAGAGCCATAAAGCCCGTGTAAGGCGATATCGACGACTTGTGCAGCGATCCCTCACCCCACAGCAGCACATTTCCGAAGGCCCGATTCCAACAACTCTGGTTCTCGTTCCCGAGGCTGAAATGAAAGTCCCGTCTAAGTTACCCACTGATGAGGAGGGACGTAAATTCCTCTTCCGACAACTAGCATCCTACTTTACGATGATCTTAAAAGAATGGGAAATCGCCTTGTCAAAGAGAGATGCCGCTGTAAAACATAGCTACCAAGGAAAGCAGGCTTACAATGCCATGGTGCAGTCCCGGGAGAATATGCGACCTTTGTTTAAAATGTTTGAAAATGGAGATTTGGAGACGAGCATACTTGAGTCAGTAGTGGAAATTGTACGCAGCGCACAGAACAGACGCTATGTTGACGCGAATGATGGTTATCTTCGACTTAGTATTGGGAAAGCGTAAGTCGAATATGCCGTTCTCAATATCCAAACTTTCAATTTTGCAAATACCGATAGTCAGTTTGCCTGAGTTGTCTAAGCTGACTTTGTTATTCCTAGAGCCTGGCCTATCGGAGTTACTATGGTTGGTATCCATGAGAGATCTGCGCGAGAGAAACTTCATCAGAGCGATAAGAGCCAAGCTCATATCATGAGCGACGAAATCACACGCAAATTCCTACAAAGTATCAAGAGATGCCTGACTTTTGCCCAGGTCCGCTGGCCGCCAGATGACCAGCTTCAGCTCATGGGTTAATTTTTTTGTTGTTTCATTGTCGAGAGATGGATATCTACTGCCTTTCATAAGTTTGGCCTCCAAATTGCCCAGGTATCTATCCCTAATATAGATCGAGTTGCACGCGATACGAGAAATACAATCAAACAGTCTAACCAGTAAACAATAACTTTAGATGCTCCCACCAAGATTTCGGTGGATTCGCAACCGAGGGGGGACGAATGTGCTTCTCTCGTGGTATCTCAGCCTGCCTTTCAGATTTGAGTTCGATCCTTCTGACGTTGTTGTGCTCCTCCGCACCGTTTATGAATGCACTCTCGGCAGTCCAGTCTTTGCTTGTTGCGATTTTCGAGTAGAAATTTCCTGGAGCATGTCCATTTCGCTCATTGAAGTCCGACTGCATGAGCTTTCCAGCGGCGTAAATGCAACCCCCATAAGCAAATCTGATCAACGAGTCCCCAGTCAAACTGCCAATTATGAAGACATCCTTCGTGACTTCTAAGCCTTCTAGGGCCCGAGCGCGCATTGTTTGCCTCGAAACCCATCTGAAATCGTCTGCCGGCGTTTCATTGTCGAATATTTCAGCTAGCAGGGGTTTGCTTAGATAGTTCAGGGAGCTCCTTCGGCCAACCACATATGCTAGTCCACTTACTTCGCGAGAGAAGGTGGTCCCATCCTCTCGTCGAAATGTGACTAGTGCTGTCTCATTATCCAACACAACATCTGTGACAACGGTGTTGGGAATACCCTCATAGTTATCGGTCCAATTTCTACTTTCCAGAAAAGGAATCGAATGTCCACAAGGCCGTTTTGGGCGACTTGTCCCGTTACTCTGCTTTGATTGAGCGAAGGCCCGTTTCATGAGGCGATAAATAGTGGCATACTCGGGGTATTCTTGCTGGTGACAACTTTTCAAAGGTGACGGATTGGTCTCTGGTTTCCATTTGAAAACATGGATTATTGTTTGATCTGGATGAGAAGAAATAATGACGTCCGCTGCTGAAAACCCAGATCCGATGATTAAGAGTGGGGCACGTCGTGGTTGCATCGCCGTCGTTGGAGGCGGTAATTTTAACAAGGGCAACAACAATGGTCGCGGGGGAATACGCTCCGTGAAAACTCCCGATGCCAGGATCAACTTGTTGCAAGTGATATTATGTGACCTGATATAGAAACCATTCTCAGTGCGAACTACTCCACTGATTTGCTGGCTGCATCGAATTGATTCGGATATCCCTACGAATGTAGCGTAAGCGGCAAGATACTCCGCTACCGCCTCCCTCGGTGGCCTTGTGAACGGTGGTAAAGGACAGGCGTGGACGCGTTGATGGTGCTCAGCAAAGCTATATCCAGGTAATGAGAGCATACCAGCGTAACTTAACGTTTGGATGTTTGGGGCTGTCCCGTCTGGACACTCTGTCCATTGTCCTCCAGGATGAACTGCAGACCCAAAAATAATATGGGAGGCGGCCCTTTCTGGCATGTACCGCCATCGGACACTTGTTTCTGTCCCCTCATCATCGTCTCCATTCGGCCGAATCAGAGCGTCAAGAAGAACGTTAACAGGAAGAGCTTGGGTGGAATATGGGAACCTAGATGCGCCGAAATGGGTTGTCAAATGACCAATGTCTAGGTGGAGGAGCTGCGGGTTGTCCTTTAGCTTTGCATGGAGTAGGGGATCCGGATGGGGTTTCTCCGGGTTGTAGAATGGAATATGGCCGTGGAGGATATAGGAAAGTATCATGGCAGATGGTCCATTTCCTACATGGAGTCACGGAAGCAATTTGCATTGATTAGCAGAGGTTTCAACACGGGTTGGGTTTGGGGTATGCGTTCTTCTTTCTGTCTGTGCGAGGAGAGGGAGGGCAACAGGGAATGTCCAAAGTTCTCACCAACAATGACGACATCAACCGACGTAGGAACATTTGATTTTTCTGCCATGGGCGGCGACTGGATCCTCAGGCATTCTGAGGAACAGTGATCGGCGATACTTTCCAGCGTCTGCCGTGGGACGAGAGCTCACGCCTCCCCACCCTTCGTGACGGGTGCAGGAAGCTGCATGTAAAAATGACTATTCCATGTAGCAGGTGAACGTCAGTTCCTCATCCAAATGCGGTCCCGAACACGATTAATCAACAATGCGAATGGTCAGTTAGACAGATGAAGTTTTTTGAAAGAAGTCTGAGGGAAGGGAATGTTAGAGATCTTGGGATATCTGATAGCTATTTTTTTGCTGTTTCTCTTTTTCATTTTCTGGAAGGTTGTTTGGTTTTGGTTTTCGTTAAACTACTGAGACGCGAGACGCTGCTGACAAATGGGCGGCATTGGCTGTTGGCCGTTACGGCCGTTGCGGTTAGCGATCCTACTAGATCACGTGACTCACCACTATATTATGTTCTTGTAGATAGATTATTATTATTATTATTATTATTCTTCCATTATACATATGCAAGCGGAGCTTATGATGAGTCCTTGCGTGATGTTAAATACAGGTCAAGTGTTGGTTATACAGGAGGAAATACAGGTGTTGAGACCATGCCAAGATAACAGAACTGTGGCGGGCTGCGCCCGATCAATCATACAGACTATTCCGTTACACTCCATAGATTCCTACCGCCCCATTCTCGATCGCCGATCCTCGGCTGCCACGAACGCGTATGTTCCGATTGTCCATTCTTGAACACATATGCTCTGATTCTCAGCCATTCTTGATTGCTGATCCTCAGCTGCTATGAACACATGTAAATTCTTCCACTCTGAAGCTTCACTGTATACATCATCACATATGTGTATAAATATTCACTTTAATTGCTGATTCTCATATTTTCTCTTTCTTTTTCTTCTTTAATATTTTTCACTTTGTTATATAAGATCTATAAATATTATATTAATCTATTCAGTATGAATCTTTTATACTTGAAAAATATTCATTATATTCTTATTAAAAATGATTATTTATATATTATCTTCTTATTAAAAATAATTATTTATTAAGAAGATATCTGAACATGTAACAATATATAAGAAAGAGAAATAAATAGTTAATCAGATACTGAGTTCTTAAATAGAAGCTTACTTATTAATCACTCTAACTCTATAATAAAATTTTATAAGAGAATATTAGTAAAAGATCTGAGAGTTCTGATACTTAGATATATAAAATATTTATACAATTACACTTCTTTAAATATTATATATTTAATGAAAAATATATTTAATAATAATATAAGTGTAAGAGGTTGATACTGAATAGATCAGTATAATATTGATAAATCTTATATAATAAAGAGAAAAACATTAAAGAAGGAAAAGAAAGAGAGAGTATAAGAATCTATAATTAAAGTAAATATTTATACATGTATATAATGAAGCTTCAGAGTAGAAGAATTTATATATATTTATAACAGCTAAGAATTAATAATTGAGAATAATCAAGAATCAGAGTGTACATATTTATACACATTTATAGTAACTGAGAATCAGACTGAGAGTCAGAGCAGTAGAAATCTATGAAGTGTAATAAAATAGTTTATATAAATAATCAGATATAGTCTGTTATATTAATCTCTCTCTTCTTATCAATCAAGAGCCGCGGTTTCAGATAATATAAAACTTAAAGTTCAGATCAGGCAATTATAACTGACTTATTTTACAAGATATTATCAGCTACAGCTGCAGAATCTTTCATTGAGAATATCTTCAATTTCTTTCTCAGGTTCATTATCTTCTTCTGTAATTTCTAACAGCTGTCAGTCAGAAGTCAGTTGTGAAGAGAATGAGTTAGTAACAGTATAGCAGAGTAAACTTGTGTGAAATATATTATAAATCTCTGACAGAGTATTAAGATAATAGTTATAACTGTCTAGAACTTCTATCACTGTGTATTTCTATCACTGTGTATTTCTATCACTGTGTATATCATATAATAATAATTCAATATACAGAATGAGTGTGTAATCTATATATTCTTAAGATTTAATTATATAAGATCTTCTATCTTATACTGTTCTGCAGAATCTTATCAGATATTGACTTGATTCTCTTAATCTTATTTAATATTTATTATAAAGGCTTTTACTCAGTTACAGATATTTCAGAGCTTTATTACTATATTATTAATAATCTGAATCAGACTGCAGAGATTGAGTGTGAATTGTGTAATCTCTAGAAGATTCAACACTTTTATATAATATCTATATGTAAGAAAGAACAGGCTTACATCTATTAAAATAATATCTTGATTATTAATAGCAATCTCTGCATGTAAAAGAAGATTATATCAATCATCTTATAAGTAATTACAGAACTTATAAAGATACTTCTTCACAGTCTGAATTATTCATTGTTATAAGAGGTCTACGCTGAATAGATCAGTATAATATTAATAGGTCTTATATAACAAAGATAAAAACATTAGAGAAGAAAAGAAAGAGAAAGTGCAAGAATCAGTGATTGAGGTGAATATTTATATATGTATGTGGTGGTGTACGCGGGGGAGCTTCAGAGTGGGAGAATATATGCGCATTTATAGCAGTCAAGAATCAGTGATTGAGAATGGCCAAGAATTGAAGCATATGCATTCAAGAATGAAGTGATTGAAATCTGTGAAGTGTAACAGAATAGTCTATATAATTGATCAGACACAGCTCATCACATTAGCTCTCTCTTTCAGAAGCTGTTTTCATCAGTCAAGAACTGCTGTTTCAGATAACATAGAACTCAGAGTTCAGGTCAGTTAATTATAGTTAACTCATTTCACAAGATATTATCAGCTGCAGTCACAGAGTCTCTCATTGAGAATATTCTTAATCTCTCACTCAAGCTTATTATCTTCTTCTATAATGTCTGATGACTGTCAGTCAGAAGTTAGTTGAGAAGAGAATGAATCAGTGACAGCACAGTGAAGCAAGCTTGTATGAAATACATTATGAATTTCTGATAATATGTTAAGACAGTAGTTATGACTATCTAGAACTTCTATCACTTTATACTTGATATAGCAGTAATCTAGTGTACAAGATGAACATATGATTCATATATTCTTAAGATTCAATTATATCAGATCTTCTATCTTATATTGTTCAGTGAGATCTTAGTGAATATTGATTTGATTCTCTTAATCTTGTTTTACAGTTGTTATGAAGATCTCTGCTCAATCATAGATATTTCAGAGTTTTATTACTATATTATTAGCAATCTGAATCAGACTGCAGAGATTCAGTGTGAACTGTGTAGTCTCTAGAAGATTTAACACTTTCATATAATATTTATATATAAGAAAGAACAGACTTATATCTGTTAAAATAGCATTTCAATCATTGATAGCAATCTCTGTATATAGAAGAAGATTATACTAATTATCTTATAAGTGATTACAGAACTTATAGAGATAATTCTTCATAATCTGAATTATTTATTCTGATATATCATCAGTCTCAGAGTAGTAGATAGTTGATAGACAGTGTATAATCTTGAAAACTTGACAGATTCTTATTCAGAGAGTACTTATGAATTAACAGCTCTGATCTGATACTATAGATCTCAGTAATCTGTGTATTCAATAGAATAGATTCTGTAGAAAAGCTTCAGTGACTTGTTCAGTATTCATCTTATTACAAGATTTTAATATTATATCTTTACTCAGTTAATTCACAATGATCAGAATGTTTCTATAACTCTTACTCTCAGATAGATTAACAGTAAAGTTAATTACTATATCTTATCAGATTCTATTAGAGATATTGAGTAGTTTTAATAGATTTTTTCTACAGTTCTTTTATAAGATAATAGAAGAAGAGTAATTACAGTTTTAGATGAAGTGTTTAATACTGTTTAATATCTCAGATCAGTAGAACTCTCAGAAGATCATTCTATACAGTTATTCACAGTCTGAATAATCAGTTATATACAAATCATGCATCTCTTACATTATCTGAGTATATAAGAATTCAGAGTGAGAGATTCAGCATCATTCACAGAATTATAGAATGTTATTATTATTAATTGAACATTTTGACATATCAGTTCTTATACATAGTTCTGAAGAAAATCAGAGTACTTCTTAATATACTACTTCAGTGAGAGTCTGAAGAAGTTTATTTATCTGAGCTGCTGTATATCACAGTTTATTCAGTGTAGAAGAAGTGAAGATATCAATGATAGTTCTAACTGAAGAAGTATATATAGTATCATGAACTGTTTTATCTTAATTAACTAGTATCTTCAGATTCAAGAGTCAGTGCTCTCAGTTTATTCAGTAAGTATCTGTTACATTAGATAATATATCTTACTCTCATTATAAGAGAGTATCTATCATTGAGTTCTAGCTATCAGAATAGTAGTGTATTGTAAAATAAAAGCAGCTTAAGAACTCAGATCATTGTATCTATTATTCAGTGAGTTTATAGATAGTTATAAAGTATTTAAAGTTCTTATAATCTGTAACTATCTTAAATTCAGAGATACTTTGAAGTTCAGAGTCTCATTCTTCTAAACAGTGTATAATTGTAAGAAGTTTCTTATCATAGATCTTATAATTGCATTCAGCAGAACTCAGTTTCTTAGATATAAAGACATATAATTATAGAACATCTTCATTATTATATTATAATATCACTTCTTCTATTATATAGTCAGAGAAATCAGCTTCAATAACTGTTTTATAATCAGAATTAAATATTATTAGTAGAGAAGTATTAATAAATATCTTCTTTATGTGGTTCGGAAGAACGTACGACCGTCGGATAATAACGCGGCCGCTTCCGAACTGCTAGTGTATGAATGTAAAGAGGGTCATAGCAGTCACTAATTAATTTAGTGTATAATATTACAATATATAAGAAGTCAGTGTACACCTGTAATTGTATACTAGCTTAAGCAATCTTTGAATCACATCTGATAGCATGTTTAAAAATCAGTAAGAAGTGCAGGCTTCTTCAGAGTGTGATAATTCTGTCTATGAAGTAATTTATAGTTATCATGTCAGTGTGGTTCTAGAACACCTTAAAAGATAGTGTATAAAGAACAGTGAGCAGAAGAGCATCTGATTGATACTGCTTCACTTATTAAGGGAAAACTTCACACTCAGATGAATGCCATGTATGAGATGTGAACAGATGAGATGTGAGAAAGAGAATGAGAGTAGTGAACCAGATTCAAAGAAGTTCACTCTCTACTTAAAAGAAGAATAAAAGAAAGAAGTGATCATCACTGAAGTCATATAATGATAACAGAAATCATATAATAATATAGTGATAGAATGATATAGCAATATAATGATACAGTAATATAATAATAGACATCATACAATCAATGAGAAATCACTGAAA